TCAAAATGTCTAAAACTGGGCTCAGGACTATCCTTTCATCTGCCTCATCTCACTAAGTTACTTCAGGGAACAAAACTAGGAGCCTCAGATGCATCTTTGCTTTCTTTGCTTCATTGTTCACCTTTGGTCACCTTGTCCTGTCAAAACACGTTGTACACGCCAAATCAGCATCTGTTGAGTGGATGGATGATGAATGGAAGGTGGAAGGAAGAAAGAAGGGTCTGGGACACGCGGGAATGGGAGGCAGTGCCACATGCCACAAAGTGTGCTGCATTTGAAGTCCTGTTCACGGCTTTGTCATAAAATTGCTGAGAAATCAGGGGCTTCAGGTTCTAGCATTCCCCCAGCCCCATGCCTCTTGGCATAAAGCTTATCGTCTCTAGCTTTTCGTCTCTGATTCTGGGTCTCATTTCTACCTCAGTTCCCACCTGTAAAGTGAGTGGACTAAGTAAGATAATCTTCAGTTTCCTGCAACTCTAAACTGATGGTGAATGAGAATTCTGCCCAGCTCCTTAGCGATGAATGATGGCCTGAAACTTACACACTAAGGGGTCACTGGTCTGTGGTACACTTTGCAGGCATAGGAATCATGGCCCATGATGATCTAACACAGGTTTGTCCTTCGTCTCCATCCAGGTGGGTTTGAATCCATCCAGAATCTTCCAAACGATCTGAGCGGTGAGTAGAGATCATGCTGAACCCGACCTTCAGTCCTTCAGGACAGCGTCCTGTCCCCTTGCCAAGAGCTGGCCACCATAGTTGCAGGTGCTTAGGGTTGCTCAACTCTCTCTGTCCCTTATAGTGTCCCAGCCCGAAGGCTTCAGGGAGGCCCGGCCTGGCGGAGCCTGGGCGGAGCATCAGGCCGTGGGCTCCCGACACTCCAGCAGCTCCGAGGACTCCAGCCTGGAGCAGGACCTCCTCTCAGCTGCCTCAGACAGTTATCACCTGCCGGAGCCCGATGACCTTGATGACCCGGAACTGCTCATGGACCTCAACACTGATCAGGAGGAGGAGGAGGCTGAGAACTTCGCCCCCATATTGACTTTTCTGGATCACGAGGGTTATGCCGAGCACTTCAAGAGCCTCTATGATTTCTCCTTCTCTTTCCTCACGTCTTCCTTTTATAGCTTCTCTGAGGAGGACGAGCTGGTGGCCTACCTGGAGGCCTCGAGGAAGTGGGCCAAGCGGAGCCACATGACCTGGGCCCATGCCCGGCTCTGCTTCCTGCTGGGCCGGCTGAGTGTCAGGAAGGTCAAGCTCTCTCAGGCCAGGGTGTACTTTGAGGAGGCCATCCACATTCTCAGTGGGGCATTTGAGGACCTGTCCTTGGTGGCTGCTCTGTACATCAATTTGGCTGCTATCTACCTGAGGCAGAGGCTGAGGCATAAAGGCTCAGTCCTGCTGGAGAAGGCAGGCGCCCTGCTCACCTGCCTGCCTGACCGGGAGTCTAGTGCCAAGTATGAGCTCGACGTGGTGGCCTATGTGCTGCGCCAGGGCATTGCGGCGGGCAGCTGTCCTCTGGAGGCCAGGGCCTGCTTCCTGGCCATTCGATTGCTCCTGAGCCTCGGCCGGTACGAGGAGGTCCTGCCCTTTGCGGAACGTCTGCAGCTTCTGTCTGGACACCCTCCTGCTGCGGACACTGTGGCCACCATCCTGAGTTTTCTGTATGATAAGAAATATCTTCCACACCTTGCAGTGGCCTCTGTCCGGCAGCGTGGCCTCCAGAGTGCCCAAGGGACGTCCCTTCCGATTTGGCAGGTCTACCTGGTCCTCCAGAATGCCACCAAGCTCCTTGGTGTTCCCTCCCCAAGCTGGAATGAAGTTTCCACTCTGGCCTGCCCGGCACTCAGGCAGGCACTGGCTGCCTGTGAGGAGCAGGCAGATCGGTGTACCCAGAGGGNCCTTTCCAACCCTTCCATGTAGGGCAGCCTGTTCCTATCTTTCCCATTAAAAATGGATACCACATGGCCTTGAAGAATGAGAAGGGGTCAAGTGAATGGGCTTTGTTTTTCTTGGGAGATGGAGTTTTCACAGGAGGGGTGTTTTCATATCCACTTTGACCTATTCAGCAACCGCGTAGCTCTGTTCTCCATGGATGGAGAAGATGCTCTGCACGCTTATTCTTTGCAGCATTAATAAATACATCACAACGATAAGACGAGGAGCAGGAGTTCCGCTTTGGGCACGTGGGTTGATGGCTTCTCTATGTCCTCCACTACGTCTTCAGGTGGAGGGAGAAGGGGTCGTGTCTGGGACGTTGCACTGATCTGTGTCCATGTCTTTTGTCTCAATGCAGGAGCAAGAACTCCGCTTTTTTCAGTGATGAGGAAAGATGCTCTCTGTGGGTCCTGGGAAGTGACAGGAAAGCTGAGAGTGCCACCTTCCTCCACACACTTGCTCATACTGACATAACGTCTGTCTACCGGCTTAGTGAGTGTTTGCTCCTCAGATGCCTTTGAAAGCCCAGGCTCACGATGAAGAGACTGTCCCTACCCAGGAATAGAGTACCTCTAAGTTCTAATCCCTTCCATGCATGTGGGGCTGTGGCCACTATTCAGTTGATGACCTGGGTCATATTTGTTGACCAGCACTTTCTCTTTAGATTGCAGACAGTTCTGGGGCTGAGTGGAACTCATTGCCTAGAAACTGTGAAATATGTTGAAACCACCTCAACTGTAATGTGGGAGGTCTGCCATATTGAGACTTCTCTGCTAATCCTGCAGAAGAAAAATGTCCTGAGTTGTGGCTGTGGTCCCTCCTTCCAGGACTGAAGTTCATCTAGGTAGCCAATGATAAAGGTGGAAGGACCCCATTTCACAGATGGGGAAACTGAAGCCCAAAAGTGAATGTGTGCCTGAGCCAGGATAAGAACTGCCCTCCCCCATTTTCTAGTCAGGACAACCCCCACTTTACCACACTGCCTCGACACAAAATGACAGTGGACTGTTGGGTACGTTAACTTGGATGGGAGAGGGGTCTCAGTGCCTAGCACAGTNGAATTGTCCCAACTGTGATTCCTAGTTTTTTTCTCTTATTTTTCTTGATCAGACTAACCAAAGATTTGCCTTTTTAGAAATCTTTTAAATGAGTCAACTTTTGATATTGTTGATTCTCTATTGTTTTTCTGTTCTCTGTATAATTTATTTCTGATTTAACATTTTTTTTTCTCTCTTCTGCTTGCTTTGGGTTTACTTTACTTTTCTTTTTCAAGTGTGTTAAGGTGGAATGTTAGTTTATTGATTTGAGATCTTTATTCTTTTTTAACATAAATATTTATAGGTATGAATTTCTCTTGGAGCACTGCTTACACTCCACTCACTCCAATTGTGGTATGTTGTATTTTTGTTTTAATTCATCTCAAGGTAGTTTTTACTATCCCTTGTGGGGTTTTTTTGACCCCTTGGTTATTTAAAAGTGTGTTGTTTAATTTTCGCGTATTTTTGAATTCTCCAAATTTCCTTCCATTACCAATTTCTGATTACATTCCATTGTGGTGGGAGAACATAGTTTGTATGATTTCATTTCTTTTAAATTTGCTAAACTTATTAAGAAAGGCGTAACATATGGTTTATTCTGAAGGATGTTTCATATGCACTTAAGAAGAATGTGTATTTTGCCATTTGTTGTAGTGTATTATAGATATCTATTAGGTCTAATTAAGTCACACTTAAAGTCTTTTATTTCTTTTTGTTCTTATGTCTAATTGCTCTATCCATTATTGAAAGTGGGGTATTGAAATCTCCAATTATTCTTGAGTTGTCTGTTTCTCCCTCCAATTCTATCATCATTTACTTCATGTAGCTTGGGGCTCTCTCTGTTTTTAGGTGCAGTATGTTTCTAATTGTTATGTCTTCCTGATGGAATGACTCTTTTATCATTATAAAATGTTCTTCGTTGTCTTTAGTGACAAGTTTGGCTATTTTATCTGATATTAGTGTAACCACTCCAGCTCTCTGTGGATGGTATATCTTTTTTCTTATAATCTTATAATATAATATAATATAATATAATCTTATAATTCTTATAATAAGATACTTATAATCTACACATGTCTTTGAATCTAAAATGTATCTCTTGTAGAAAGCATATAGCTCAATCATAGTTTTTTTTTTCTTTTTTTTTAAAACCATTCTGCCAATCTCTGTCTTTTGACTGGAGGGTTCAATCCATTTATATTTAATTACTGGTAAAGTAGGACTTATGTCTGCCATTTTGCTTTGTTTGTTTTCTATATATCTTATATCTTTTAAAAATTCCTCCTTTACTGCCTTTTTTTGTATTAAATAGATATTTTCTAGTGTATCATTTTTAATTTCCTTATCATTCCTTTTACTATAGTTCTTTCAGCTATTTTCCTAAGTGGTTATGCTAGGGATTATAATTAACATCTTAATTTATAGCACTCTGTTATAAATGTCCTGGGCATACACACTTGCATATGTGTGTTTTTGCACTTGCATATGGCCTTCTAGATTTCTGGGAATATGCTGGAGCTTTTCAGAGCCTCCTATGGACATCTCATTCCCCAACTTTTCCTTTTATTTGTTTCTTTATTTTCATCTTCTTCCTTGTTCCAAATGTTTTCACCACCTCAGGCAGCAGCACAATTAAACAATTGCTGCTGATACGTTTGGACAAACACCCCAGGGAAAGGGTATCCTACACAGGGTGAACTCTAAGTCAGGTTCAATAAAAACAAGCCCTGTGAGTGGATGCTCTCAGGGAACTTCCAGACAGGTCAAATAGTGACAATTCCCTGGGGACAGAATGCTGGGGAATTCCAAACTCAGTGTGCCCCTTCCTGGGGCTGCTAGGCTGCTGCCTTTCCCAGCAACTGTGATTGTAAAGCTTTTGGTTTTTAAGGCCGCCACAGAGCTTGTGGAGTGGAGATGCCTCTAGAACAAGCTAAAAAGCAACAAAACTCACAGTCTTAACACGATTCAGCTGTTTTTCTTGAATAAACGCTCCCAAATGTTTGCAAGCCTTTGGTTANATACTTTTGAATGATAATTTAGCTAGTTATAGAATAACATCTTCAAAGTGTGGAGGGAAAAATAACTATTAATATAAAAGTTCAAATCTGTTTTGCCATTAGTCTTTTCAGAGAACCACTTTTTCTTTTGTTGGCCACCTTTATTGTTTCTTATTTCATGAATTTCATATTTACCTTTTTTACTTTCTCTGTTTTTATTTCATTAATTTGTGTTCTTATCCTTTATATTTAATTCTTTCACCTCATAAATTGAACAATTAAGTAATTAAGCCAGTTGAACTCAGAAAGAAAGATTAAGAGCAGTAGAAAACATAAAAAGATCTATAATCTTAAAGAAATGAAACTCATGTTTAAAAATTATATTATTTTTATTTATTTTGCTCAGGACTTGGTGTGGTTCTTCATTTTGAAAACTCATGTCTTCAATTCTGGAAAATTCTCAGTCATTCTTCCTTTGAATAGTGCCTCTCTCATTCTTTTTAGTGTCTCTTCTGGAATGCCTAGTAGAGGTATGTTGGACTTGTCATCCTTTTCACGATCTTACTTAATCAGTTCTTTTATATTTTTTATCTTTTTGTCACTCTAGGCTACATTCTGGGTGATTTCCTCAGAACAATCTTTAGTTTCACTAGTTTTCTCCTCTGCTGTGACTAAACCTGTTGTTTAACTCACTGATATAGTCCTGAATTTCCAAGCCTTTATTTTTATTTCTAGAATTCGTATTTTGCTAATGTTCACAAACGCTTGTTTCTACTCACAGTGTTCTGTATTTTTATCATGACTCCTATTTGCTCTGTTTATTTCAGCATTTAAACCATACTTTTTATAAATTCATCTTCAGGTTATTATTATTTATAGTGTTTGTCGTGTTACTTTACCTATTTGTGCATCTGCTGACTCTCTTTGTCAGTAGTTCATTTTCTTGTGTGGTTTGTAGTTTTGGTTCTGTGAGTGAATTTTCAATATTTTAAAAAATGGTCTTTGCATGAAACCTGGACTGAAGAAAGCATCCCAGCAGAGTAGATTTTGGCATTTGCTTTCTCTGAAAACTTAGGAACTCAATGGCCCAGGCCTGGTGTTTTAATATTAAGTTTTCTGATTGTCATACCTACACTGTGCAGTGTAAATTCAGATCCCACACCTTCTAATGGTGTGAGCCTGGGTTTT